TTCTTTTCATTTGTCTCCCAAGCTGGGTGCTTGTGGTCGGGTTCCCGGCTGGCTTGTCTCCCACTTCCTTTCATTTGTCTCTCACTTCTTTTCATTTGTCTCCCAGGCTGGGTGCTTGTGTGCAGGTTCCTGGCTGGCTTGTCTCCAACTTCCTTTCATTTGTCTCCCACTTCTTTACAGAATGGTCGCCTTGGTGCTGGATGGTCTGGTCGGGTTCCCGGCCGGCTTGTCTCCCACTTCCTTTCATTTGTCTCCCAGTTCTTTTCATTTGTCTCCCAGGCTGGGTGCTTGTGGTCGGGTTCCCGGCTGGCTTGTCTCCCATTTCTTTTCATTTGTCTCCCAGTTCTTTTCATTTGTCTCCCAGGCGGGGTGCTTGTGGTTTCACTTGTCTCCCAGTTCTTTTCATTTGTTTCCCACGCTTTTGGTCGGGCTGGATGGTCTGGTCGGATTCCCGGCCGGCTTGTCTCCCACTTCCTTTCATTTGTCTCCCAGTTCTTTTCATTTGTCCCAGGTCGGGTTCCCGGCTGGCTTGTCTCCCACTTCCTTTCATTCCCCAATAGCCATGCTATGGAGTCTTGCAAAACTAATAGGCGGACGGGCGCCGTCGGGTCACAGTCAGTGGGCGGATGGTGTCCCGGTCATGTTTTGATGGCGTCCGGGTCATGTGATGCTGGTGTCCCGGTGTCCCGATCATGTTTTGATTGTGACCCAATCATGTTGTGATGGTGTCCCGGTCCTGTTTTGATGGTGTCCCGGTCATGTTTTGATGGTGTCCCGGTCACGGTCATGTTTTGAAGGTGTCCCGGTCATGTTGTGATGGTGTCCCGGTCATGTTGTGATGGTGTCCCGGGCATGTTTTGATGGTGTCCCGGTCGTGTTGTGACGGTGTCCCGGTCATGTTGTAATGGTGTCCCGATCATGTGATGGTGGCGCGGTGATGTTGTGATGGTGTCCCGATCATGTTGTGACGGTGTCCCGGTCATGTTTTGATGGTGTCCCGATCATGTGATGGTGGCGCGGCCATGTTGTGATGGTGTCCCGATCATGTTTTGACTGTGTCCCAGTCATGTGTGTCCCGGTCCTGTTTTGATGGTGTCCCGGTCATGTTTTGATGGTGTCCCGGTCATGTTGTGATGGTGTCCAAGGAAGAGATGGTCGATGTTTTGAAAACAGCAGCTGTTTCCAGATTTTTTTTTTTTGTCCCGGTTTGTATCTTGCTATTGGGGTCTCCAGCTGGGCTAATTTGTTTCCCACTTCTTTTCACTTGTCTCCCAGTTCTTTTCATTTGTCTCCCAGGCTGGGTGCTTCTGGTCGGGTTCCCGGCTGGCTTGTCTCCCACTTCCTTTTATTTGTCTCCTCTTCTTCCCAGCTCTGGACTGCTGTGTCCGCCTCTGCCTTGCAATCCTTTACATTTGTCTCCCAGCTCTGGGCTGCTGTGTCCGCCTCTCCCTTGCAATCCTTAATTTTACATGTGTCTCCCAGCTCTGACTGCTGTGTCCGCCTCTGCCTTGCAATCCTTTACATGTGTCCTCGCAAGCCTTTGCATTTGTCTCCATCTCGCTTGCACATTTGTCTCCCTGTGTCTACATTTGTCTCCCAGCTCTGGACTGCTGTGGCCGCCTCTGCCTTGCAATCCTTTGTCTCCCAGCTCTGGACGTCGCAGGCTCTAGTTGCAGAGTGTTCCGATTCGAAAAACACAAACTGTTTGGGGTCTACGGTGGTGTAATTCATCGTTGCACGAATGGGTCGGATGGGGCGCCGCACGGGGGGTTTCTTGCTGGCTTGTAGGTCTTTTCTCTTGACCGTCTTGAGCATCTTCAACCTCTAGTGCTTGGCTTAATTATGATCGAGATTTGAAAAGGTTCCAAAAGCCTCTGCTGTTCGGACATGCGGTTCATTCATGACTCACGTTGTGGCAAGCATTCCGTCTTCCATGTTCACGTGCTGGTTGGTCGAGGTTTGGCTGCCGTGGATGAGAATGTCGCTCCCCAAGTCATTGGCAAGGGTGTTGGTAGTATGTGTTGGTGGCCATTCCTGGCAGCTTTGTGAAAAAATTTCGCATCACCCAAGAGCTGTTACATCAGTGGGCCTGCCCCAAGGTGCATGCGGCGTCGGCGGACGGCTTGCACATGGCCCCCCCGCCAATCAGCTGATTGCTAGAAGCAGCGGAAAAACGTGCCTTTTTTGATCCTCCTGCCTGTGTCCTCTACAGAATGCTACTGATATAAGGCATTTTTCAATAGAGAACACTTGTCTTACATTCCCAGGTTTGGCATGGATACATTTCGGAGCTTCTGAAAGATGCTGATTTGGATTTTGATTCTGTAGCGAGACATGGTCACTGGCAGCCTGCGCGAAATGGCCGCGTTCGAAGATTGGCTCGAACAGCGGGAGGCACCGATGGGACGCCCCTGGGCGTCAGGCTGACGCGTCGCCCCCCTTTCGATCCATCGGCCCGAATGGTGGGCCCACGGCAGGCAGCTGTTCTTTGTGGACCCAGGTGAGGGATGGGATGGGTTGCTGCAACAAGTTGTTCCCCAGGTCACGCTCCAAGAAGACAGGTCTCACGTACACGCATTCAAGACAGCCTTCAAGAGCCCATATGTTGCATGATCGTTCACTCATTTTCCACGATGCGTGACCTCGCCTCTCACGGCTTCCGTTCTTCCCAAAGGGGGCCTTGTTTCACCCAGTTCGAGCCCTCCCTGTGGGATCCACCTGGATCCGTGGAACTTCGACCTCGGTGTTCGATTCCAGGTGTTTTCAAGCTTTCTTCGAAGAGGTTGATGAAGAAGAAGGCCTGAAGCAGGCGAGGCGACTCAAGCAGTTTCCTGCAAGCATCGAACTTGCACTTCGACCGCACCACCGAATGGCTGGTCACCAGACGACGTGACCAGCCCTTCGACCGTCGGTTTTTTTCGACCAGGTGAGGGACGGCGAAGGTGCCTACAAGCAGGTCGTCCGATATCACCATGTGGGTGCTGGTCGGGGAGATTTCGAGCCCGTGACGCCCCAGCCAGCCACACAGACACAGCTCATGTGGGTGCCCTTGGGCATCTTGCTGTTGTTCTTCGTCCTCAGCGCAGCTCGGCTAGGATGGGCCACTGGAGGATGCGTTTTGTTTGTTTTGTTGTCCTTCTCTCCCCAAACCCCAGAAGCTTGGGGGTCGAAGCAAGTTCCGGAGCAAGTTCCGGTTGGGCAGCAGGTGTTGCGGCAGGTTCCGGAGGAGGAGCTTGGTGCTGTCAGGTCACGCCGGTAGTATTCATGCGTGGTGTCGCGCTGACATCATGTCAGGCTGACGCACTGGCATGGGTCACGCTGACATGCTGACATGTTGTCACACTGAGAGGGTGCAGTCGGGTCATGTTGGCGTGCTCACCTGCAGGCCAGACTCCTTTCGGGGGTCCGGAGCAGGTTTGCTAGCTCTTGTAGCGGCGTTGTCGTGCTTGCACATATGCTATGCCTGCGGCACGTTGAAAAGGTTCACACTTCTCAAGTTCTGCCTTTGTTTGGCAAAGGCACGACTCACGACACTTTGTTGGTGATTTCGATGGCCATGGCCATTGCCCGGATTTGGATGCCCAGGTGTTGGTGACTGTTCGGCGTTTTGGGGGAACTTCTTAGCTTTTGGTTAGTGGAATCCTGCACTACCTACGTTGGGGGAGGGGCTTCCGGATCTCATTCTACGTCCCACCACGTCAGGTGCCTTTGCTCTTCCTTTGGGACGCTTATCATCACAAGGCCCGAACCGTTCCGGCCCCGTGCTTCCGGTTTCAGTCTTTTTAGGCACTGGGTCGGTCCAAAGCGAAGGGGCCGAGACATGAGCTTTCGGATGAAAGACCAGCGGCAGTGCCGACGGTGTTCCACGCTCGAATGATGTACACCCCCTGTGCCTCTACAAGATTCTACAAGCCCGTGGTTTTTCAAGGCCGATGTTAAGTCTTCAGTGGGGGGCGTATGTACAGACTGCATAAGACGGAAATAATCACACCACTTAGATATACACGTGCACATCTACAAATAAGTAACTCCAGAGATGTGAGGTGCAGGGATCAGATGGAACATCACCCCCCATCCAAGTGTTCACCCACTCTTCCACCTCCGAGTCATCGCCGACCTCGCCCACTCGTCCTTTTGTCACCAGGGGGAGGACCCACTGACACTTCCAGATTGCAGCTTCGACCATCCGCGGGGCTCTCGTGGGGATGCTTACTGCTGCCACCACTATGGCCGCTGTCAAGGACTCCGGGCCGGGGGGATGAGATGAGAAGACGCTCCGAGCTTCCGTGAGCCGAACGACGCTAACGACGACGACCGTCGAATTCGGCAGATGATGTCGGATTGGATGCAGGATCTTTCTTGATGCCCCGCATCCTGATCAAGAAAAAGCCATTCAATAAAAGCTGCAGGTTCCATGCGCTCTTGTCCCTCACAGTTTTGAACATCCTTCTATGTCAGGCCATTTGAAACCCCTCAGCTGTGTGCTCACCAGACGGTCTCTTTTTGCTGGTCTGGGTGGCTTCGGCGAACTTCCGTAAGCTCCGCCGGGCACCGCGGGCGGAGCTTCCTCCCTTCTGCCAGGTGGCACCGCGTTCGAGGATCCGTATGGCTATGGCGGCGATGGCGAGCACTTTGTCGCTTGGGCAGCTGGGTCCCTCCCGCCCGGGGCAGCCGCGGGGCGTCGGTCTTTTTGTTCTTTTTGGCATCCCGTTTTCGCATGGAGGAACTGCTGCAACGTCGGTGAAAGGATGTTGGTGGGTGGGTGGGTGTTGCCTGGAGGCCTTTTTGGTTTGGAAGAGACTGCCATTAGGACTGCGATGCCGGCTATGAAGATTGGCAGAGTGGATGGTCCCCCGCCAAGACACAGTGGTGTTGCCGAAAAGAAGGACGAGGATGCATGCAATTTCAATGCGAAGGGGAGGCGGGGCATTTTTGACTCCAAATATTTGTGTGAAAGGCAGCCGTCTTTCATAGTCTTCCCGTCTGTAACCAGACACAGAGACGGGGAACTCCACAAGTGCTTGCTTTGCTTCTTTTTTTGGGGGGGCCTTTTGTATCCTTTTGTTGCAATGGAGGCGCAGCAGTGGAGCCCTGAAGAGAGTGACTGGCTGCTCAGCTGAGCAATCTGACGGGAGTTTCGTGCCGAACCTGTTCCAAACCACTCGCGGGGGGCACCGCTGCGGGGGCACGTGTGCGTGAACGTCGCGTAAACGTCGGCTGTCCAGGTGCTGTGCAAATCGGCAGCAGTGCCAGAGCTCCGACTCAGGGGCCTGTGACACCATGTGCACCACAAGTAGCGGTGGGAAGAGTATCACTTCTTCGTGTATGGATCGAATCCGCTGGGCTGAGCGGCATTTCTATTCTGGACAGGACGGCCAACTCAGGGGCCAACAGGTCTTTTCTTTTGGGTCTTCTTTCCCTATAGAAGTCCAAGAGCAATCTTTTGGCACCAGTATAGTGTATATATGGAGTAAAGGAAGTTCCTTTTTGGGTCACCTACAGACCATTTCCGAAACATTCTTGGACTCCTAGGGGTTTGCTTGTGGCCTTTGTTTGCTCTTGATGTGTCTTGCCGATCATTGTGGCTTACTCCTGCTCCCTTCGGCAGGAGGATTCCTGCTCCTTGGCCTACAGCAGAGTTCGAGTGGATTGCGATGTGTGCCGCACATGCTCCATTGAGGACCCAGACGAATGTTTTCGGGGAGGAGAGTTGGCGAATTAACAGCATGAACATCATGAACCTACAGGGTCAAGGAGTAGAGACATGGCCACTTAGTCGCTAGGCCTCATCCAGGCCGATGACCAGATGGCTGGTGGTCCAATTCCAGTTGATGCTTTCTGTGAACACTTCTTTTCAGACCACCAGATGTTGAGTCAGACCAGGAGGCAGGCTGCGCGCAGCAACCGCAGGCGCCGGGTATGGGTTCATGTTCCGGTCGCAGGCGTGCCCTCTGGTGGTCTGGTCTGCCGTGACTGGAAATAAGCCCAGCAAATGAGTGGGGGAGCCTGAATAACATGAGTACCCCCAGAACTTGTTGCAATTAGTGTTGCAAGAAGATGCAATAAGTAGGAATGGCAGTTGCAGTGCGAACCTCATCCAAAAAACAAGATGCTCGGCAAGCAATACGCTTGTTATTTCGAATCCCCGGAAACTATTCAGAGGTTGGGAACACTCTCATACCTTTTTCCCTCTTTTCTACCCTGTCCGTAGACCTCGTGATTCCACATGACCAAGGCATTCAAACAATGTCACCACCGCCCTGACCAGGTGCCCCGGCTCCTGGACGACTGCGAAGGGACCGCGGTCGACCGCGCTGGCTGGTCAGCTGAGAAGAAGGACGGAGCACCGGCCATTCGACAGGTCGTTCGACAGGAGTTTTGGGGGCCGATTCTTTGCAGAGCCAGATTTGAGTCTTGAGGTCCCAAAGTTGATTATAGAGAGAGAGAGGGCTTCAGAAGACTGTTTGACGGTCACTGTCGTTGAAAGGGGCGTTTTCCCTGCCATCTCCCTTTTCTTGATTTCGACTTCAAGCAACATCAAGGGCGTGAACACACTCAAACCCGAAGACATGCCGTCCGCACTCGTTTGGGGTCCCCCCGCTCGCTGCCAGGAGTTCTGCTGTCGTCAATGGGGCACCTGCGAGCAGAGTGACGCCGAGGACGGGCCGTCCCGCGACCTGCCGGACGGCCCGACTGGCTCGAGGACGCCACTGGCGCAGCTGGCGTGAGGCCGGGCAAACCGCCGGGAGGCGGTGGGTTCCGACGCCGGCGCCGGGGCGGGCGCGGCCGTGAGGGCGGACGACTGGCGGCTTAGCCGGGGTCGTTTCACCAGGAGTCTTGTGTCACAAGCACATGAAACCAGCATGTCTACCAATGAAACTGCGTTGGACACACCAAAAGAGAACTTTCAAGCATCCCGAATCCAGATGCATTTCACATGCTTCTGGCATGACCTTGCAGCAGAGTTGGCTGATGCAATTCGAATTTTGCGAGACATCTCGGCTCACAAGTTGAGCAGTGCAGAGATCTGTGCTCACTCGGCCATGGTTGAGGACCAGGGCGAAGCGGTGTGAAGATGTTCACAGATCTTCAAAAAGTTGTCCTTTTTTTCTTCACATCTGTTGATTCTGTTGCATTACGACTACATTCCCTTAGTTGCCTCATCATCAGTACTTTAGACAGAGCACAGTGCCAGTTTGAAGAGGTACATTCGTAGGGCGAGCGCCCGGTGGGTGGATTTCGGTCTCCCGGCAGAGGCGTCACGCGCGCGGTTTTTGACGCGGGTGACGATCTTCCAGCTGGCAGGAGGAAGACAAGCGCGTGGTGGTGCGAGAAACCAGCTATGAATCGCAATACCAAGATCCGTGCAGCAAGATGTCTTGCACCAGGTTTTGCTTTGAGTTTCCAGCTCAAGGACAGGGCATACAGAGAGATAGAGAGGGAAGAACACACGGTTGCACCTACTATTCCTTTGCACAGAACGCTTGCAAATCGAAATGCCTTGTATGAAAACAGAAGGGATGCACCACGCTACCACTGAATACCAAAGCGTCTGCCAAAGATGACACACAAACATCATGAAACGTCATGACACTTTGGGTTCGATTCTGGCAAACAAAGGATAACAACAGAGACACATTGGGACACCATGTTTGGGAAAAAACCTTGGATTCCTGGGCATTTTCTGATGTGAATGTCACATGCCCATTTCAATCCTCACCTCCCCTTCAGGTGCGCCACGCTGGACCTACATGGGCCAAGGGCAAGGGGCCTACGTCCAGGTCTCGGATGTGCAATATGTGGGCGAAGGCGACGCGGGTGGATCTCCATACGGCGGACAGCGGCAACGAGCCAAAACCGAGTCTGCACCCCAAAAGGGGCCACAAAAAAAAACCGCGGGCCACTGGCAAACTGGACCAGGTGGAAAAGCAATTATAATGGTATAGTATATAATAGTAAAACCGTATATATATATATATATGTACACACACATATATATAAATATATCACCACCTGTTTTTTTTCCTTTTCTCTTCCTCCAACCGGCCTCGGCTCGACAAGGCAACGGCGACTTGGTGCGCGAGACCCCGCGCTCGGTGCAGCTGCGACCGCACTGCCTGGCGACCTTAGTCTGCTTGGTGCTGCTCATGCTAGGCCCGGGGTGGCGGGTTTCGGTCGGGTTTCGGGCAAAGCGATGTCTCCGCACCGAATGGCGGTGGGTTGGAGAGAGAGAGAGAGAGACAGAGAGAGGGAGAGTGGCCTCTCGCTGAGGTCACGTTGAGTGGGACATTTCGGGGGTTTTCGGCGATCCCGTTCGACTCTCGACAGATGTGGGATGGATTGGGAGATGAAATCATCACTCTTGGTGCCGCGAGGAGTGCTGCTGTGGGTCGTTTGGCAACGCAATTTGATGGCAAAGGAGCCTTGGACGGAAACGCGACGGGGTGGAAAAGGCCCGTTGGGAAGACCGACAGCTGCCAGAGAAAAGAGGCTTGGGAGGATGCTGACGGGGAGGATTTCTGAAGGTCAAAGATGTTCGAACATGGACATTCCAGATGCACTCTGACTCGCTTAACATGGAAGTGGATGGCATGGCCCCTTGGAAGACTACTTTCCTTAACGACAAGGAGGTTCTCCACTTCCTGTAATTCCGGATCTTGCATATTCGTGGGCATCTCTTTCTTTCCTTTCTTTCTTTCTTTCTTCCTTCCTTCCTTTCTTTCTTTCTTTCTTCCTTCCGTCCTTCCTTCCTTCCTTCCTTCCTTCCTTCCTTTCATCTCCTTTCTTCTCCTTTCTTTTTGGAAGTGGCCTCTGCTCCTGTACGCACTCTGTATATGCCTTTTCAACATGTTGCAACGTTCTGTGATCTGTGCCAGTGAGATCACAACCCCTTCGTGGTGCTCAGGACCAATCAGACCCTTGGGATTGCGAGATCAGCACGGGAATTGCGCAGCAGAGGCGCGTGGTTCAGCCGCCAAACGTACCTTAACGTCCTTGCATCTCTCTGAAGAAATGGGAGACTGCGGAAGTCGGTCCAACTCGCAGGTTTCCAGTCTGGAAGCAAACATGGAGCCTGGAGAAGCAACGCTTCTGCTGCGAGAGATATGGCCGCACCTGCGAAGAAGAACGTCGTCTGAGCGAGGAGGATCAGGTGGCGGTGGCTCAGGTGGCCGACGACGTCGTCTATGAGTGCCAAGTCTCAGTGGCCAACTGGGAGGCATGGCCAGAGGCCAAGAAGGAGTGGTGCTGCCGTCGGGAAGATCTGGGATGCGGCTTTCAGTGTTCCGAAAGCCCAGATGCTGCTGGACGGGAGTCAGATCAACCCGAGCGGGTGGGGCAGGGAACGAGCGGAAACGAAAAAAGCAACACTCATGATGAACACATCACTTACACTTGGATGCCATGGCCCCTTGAAAAACGACCATTTTTTCTTAGAAGCTGCTTCTGTGCCGTTCCTTGGAACTCAGGCTTGGTCACCGGCAAAGACACGGTGGTGTTGCATGCAGCAGGGCAAAGGGTGTGAGAATCCGCCCACACAGGCAGCTGGAACTGCAGTTGATAGGGCAGAATTTGGGCCGTGGCGTTTTTTTCGGGATGGCGTCAGACTGCCAATGAGCCATTTCGCTCTGATGAGCCCACCTTTCTGCCCCCCCCCCCCGATCCCTGATGCTTCTCGGGCGCGAGACTCTGTGAGCTGTCCAGCAATTGTGTGTGACCGGTGGGTGGTGACCCTTGGATGTCCGAATCGCCATTTTCTCCTTCCCGGTTCCACCGGTCGGACTCCCCCGGCTACACCCGCTCCTTCCCGGTGAAGGGCGCCCCTCCCGAAGACGCCCAGGCGACATCGGCCGGTGTGGTGGTTTGAGGAATGGGACGGAGGGAGATTCGCTTCCCAAGGCGGGGGGAATCGATAGGGAATCGCCTTTGGGGCGAAATGCCACGAAACAACAAGAAGATGTACACAGATTTTAGATGCTTTTAGTATGTATGTGCTGCTCTCGTGCCCAAGCTTTAGAGCTTGTTTGTTTCTTCTTTTTTTTCTCCAGTGGCACGGTGTATTCCGATCGACACCGTCATTCCACATCCGACCACACCGAGCTGCGTTCCACTCGTTTCCATCGTCAGAGTCTGTCTCCAGGGCCACGGCGGCCACCGCCACGGGCCTCTTCTGCTGTGATGGGCTGAGAAGCCGATCCGTCCTCACTTAGACGCTGTCTCCCCAAGGGACATGCAGCAAGAGTCTGTTCCTTGGAAAAGGCTTCCTTGAATTCGTTGCACGGATTCACGGCACCACAAGCGAAAACCAAAAAGCGGAGTGGTGGGTGAGCGGTGCTTATCTGCTCAGACACTGGTTTGTTTGTCGTTGATGCAGCTGATGCAGTTACCTGCGATGAAAGAAGTGTGCAGCCCTGCCAGCTTCGGCTCGAAGTTTGGACCACAGTTCGTTCCCATGGCAGAGGACGAGTGTACATCAATATGCTTGGAAGGTGCAGGTGCCTTCCCCCCTTTTCTTCTTCTCCGGATGAAAACGCACCCGACCGTGTCGTGGAGCGCCGCCCGCGAACGCGAACGCTCTTGATTCGTTGATCCCTCTGAGGTGCGAAGGGTGCGGGCTCTACGGGGGCAGTTCATCTACGTGGGTGAGAGCCGAGGCTCGTGGACGCAGAATTCCTCCATGCAATACTTGGGCGCAGGACCCGCTGCGGAACAGCCTGGCCGCCATCGCTACTAGGTTGGAGGCCATAGCTAGCAAGTTGGAGGCCATTGTAACTAGAAACACAGGAAAAAACCACAGGAAGAAAGGTCTAATATAGTTTGCTAGTAGGTGATCAGGTAATCCTAGCTTGGGCTGGGCCAAGCCGAGTGGCGAGCGATCTTGAAAGACCACTTGACCAAGCTTCACCCTGAATGAAGCGAATACACTGCCAGGGATGTCCGAATGGCCTAATGTAGGCTCTTCATTTATTGAACCCGCCCCATAGATTGCAACACCTCTTGATAAGGGGACTTTAGTCATCAAGAGTCTTCAAGAGTCTACATTACCCTGGGTTTTTGAGGGTTTTTGGGCTTTCGAATATCAGAGCATATTCTTCTGCCTGGATCGGTGCAGGACAAGGAGCCTATGAGCGTGAGGTAGTGAAGACCTATGGCAGCTATCGTTGCCGCCCTTGGTGCATGGTCATGCCATGTCTCCTGCTCATTTTGCCCATTGGCCACTGGTCAACAAATCGAACCAAGAGTCGACTCCCAAACATCCAAAACCTGTCACGCAGCACTGCCGAGGCATGCTCTTCTGGCACTTCTGGCCCCGCGCGCAGCACAACCCGCCAGATTGCATCACCGACTTCCATGACTGGCTGCGCCTCTGGACCGAGGAACGAAAGGCCTATTGTTGCAAAACTGCCGGCCGTGCATGTGGCGCGCAGCAGGGCGTCTACCGGACGCCTCCAGTCGTGTACAGGCATGTCCAGGCCCACTATGACTGCCATGCCGGATACTCGAACTGGTACTTTGGATGG